CTCCTCCTCCTCCTCCTCCTCCTCCTCCTCCTCCTCCTCCTCACCCCCCCTCCCCCCTATCATCCCTCCTCTCTTCTGCTCCTCACCCGCCCCCTCCTGGCTCCTCGTCTTCCCGGCGGTATGGCGGAGAGGGGCCCTGGTGGAAACGCGTCCTGGACCCCGTGGTCTTCCCTCGTAATCCGACGTAGCGAAAAATTGCAACATCGAAAACCATATCGTCCCGAGCCCTACACCTCATCCTTCTTCGGGAGCCTTGCGACGGGGGTCAATGCAAACGGGGGTCAGCCAAAGCGCCAGATCTTGCAGGATCCTGCAGGGCCAGGGTTGCACTGACCCAGTCTTGGGCGCAGGATCCTGCAGGATTTTGCCGGGCCCTGCACAGCCTGACTCACCCGGGTCTGGATTGACCAAGGTCAGTCGATCCCCGATTTTTGTATCATTTTTCAAGCCAGATCGATCTGTGAGGGTTCCAGGGTCCGAAGCCCGGCGAGAACGCCCGTGGCGAAAAAGTTGCAGCGCCAGGATCTGAGGGAAGGGAGGAGGAGGAGGAGGAGCACGAGGAGGAGGAAGAGGCAGAGGAGGATGAGGCCGAGGAGGCGAAGGAGAAGGAGGAGGAGGAGGAGGAGGAGGAGGAGGAGGAGGGCCCCGTGATCCCGAAGGCCGCGCACAGGGCTCCGGGGCCCGGCCCAGAGACTCGAGGACCCGCGGGGCCGCCCGCGGAGGGGCCCCGCGCCTGCTTCTGTGGCTGCCGCTGGCATGCTGGTCATCCCTGAGAGAGAGGGAGAAAGAGAGAGAGAGAGAGAGAGACAAGCAGAGCAGAAGGAGGAGGAGGAGGAGGAAGAGGAGGTGGAAGAGGAGGAGGAGGAGGAGGAGGAGGAGAAGGAGGAGGACGAGGCGGAGGAGAAGGAGGAGGAGAAGGAGGAGGAGGAGGAGAAGGAGGAGGAGAAGGAGAATCAGGAGGACTCTGGAATCTTCAGGTTCTTTTGGCGCCACAGGCTTGTTCTTCAGGTCCTATCAACGCTAAAAAAGAAGAGGAGAACTCTTTACTCTGGACTCTGGACTCTGCGCTTGGGGGCTGTGTGGAGCACAGCGTTCTTATGCCACTCTCCCCTCGCCGCTGCCGTCGTCGTCACCGCGGCCGCCTTCGGCGCCGCTCTTGGCCCCGGTCCAGCCGCCCGCCCGCCAGGGCGACTTCCACCCGGCGGAGCTCGGCTTCGGCGAGGCCTTCCCCCCCACCAGGTAGGAGCCTCAGTTCATCGAGAACAGAAGAACCCTCACCACTGATAACATACATAGTGAAGACGTGGCCTCACTTAGGTCCCCGTCTTTGCATTCGGGATAATAGATCTGGGCGGTTTTAGCGTGGTATATCTGAAGAGTTGACATCGTATTCCTACTGTTGTTGGCCCTCCTAACTTAGGTCCCCTCCCTAAGTGTTAGGGGCCCTTCTATTGCTCATGATTAGTAAGACGAGGTCAGGAGGAGGATAACATCAGGTGAGGATCGATGGAGGATCTCTGAGATCCGGCGACTCTGAAGGATGTCTCGTGCGCCACGGCCTTCTTGGAGCGCTCCGAGACGCTCTAAGAGCGTTTCGGAGCGCTCTGGAAGGGATGTATCCTCCTCCTAGTCCGGTCCAGCTTACGTAGGGAGGACCCAGCTCTCCCAGCCGCTCCCGGGCGCTTCCCAGGGGCTCCCTGGCGCTTCCCAGGCGCTCCCAGGCTTCCCAAGCGCTCCTCAGGCGCTTCCAAGGCGCTCCCAGGCGCTCCGAGGTGCTCCCCGGCGCTCCCGGGCGCTCCCCAAGCGCTCCCAGGCGCTTCCAGGCGCTTCCAAGGCGCTCCCAGGCGCTCCTCAGGCGCTCCTCAGGCGCTCCCAAGCGCTCCCAGGCGCTCCCCGGCGCTCCCCGGCGCTGCCCAGGCGCTCCCCACTGCAGGCGATCCCTTCGGTAAGACCCTTAGAGAGGACCTTTGCGAAAGAGGACCCTGCACTCATCAGAGATTTTTAGAACAAGCAACAACTTCCATGGTCTCCGAATCTGGTGGAAGAAAACCAAGAATCTCGCCTGGACCCTGTACCTTTTCTCTTGGAGCTTCTCTGATCGTAGAACTCTCGTGTCCCTGGACTTGGACTGCTGTTGAAGCAGACGCTGGAGTCAAAGCCGTTTTTTAGCGTAAGGTCTTCTTCGCCCTGCACAGGGGTGATCTGGAAGGAAGAAGACCCTCGCCCCGCCTCGCCTCAAGTCGGGCGTGTCCCTCTACAGGAGGAGGTAGTCAAGAGTCGTCAACCGAATAGTCTGGGGACGATTGCTTGATTCTGTGTACGACTATTTTCAATCATCTGTTTGCACTTTTCGAATTTTCTCCCCCAACTCGCCTGTAGGAGGACACGCCCGACCCAAGCCTCGCCCCGCCTCGCCCTGCGCGGCGCTGCAAGCGGGCCGGCGGAGGCCCGAGGCCCGCGGGAGGACCGGCGACTCTACCAAGCGGTGTGGCCACGCCAGGCTGAGGCTGGCGATCTGCGTCGCTGGGACTTCTCGTGGCGCCAACATCGCAGAGCGGATGTCGTTCGGAAAACGATAGGGTGGGCCCGGAGAGTCCTGGGTAGTTTCGCTCCAGATGCCGAGGTCAATTTCGTGCGGATTTCTTGGGGCCAGGAGTGGGGACCAAAACGAGTCCACGGGAAATTCACTTCGTTTTTCGCTCGCCGTTGCGGGCAAATTCACTCCGCTGCAGCACGTCTGCAAGGCCGGTGCAATAAGAAGAATTCCTGGAGGCCTCGCGCGGCGCGCACCAGTTGCATTCCCTAGTCCACACGTCAGCTCCGTAAGCTATGCGTCGACGTTCACAGAGCGGTGTGTGTGGGCACGCTGGGGTGAGGCTGGCGATCTGCGTCGCTGGGGCTTCGTTATGGGGAACATCGAAGAAGAAACGCCATAAGCATAAACTTTTGGTGCTCCGCGCGGATTTCTTGGATCCGCGCTGGGCCCCCCCCCGGCGGCGCTTCCGGCGCCGCCTGGCGCGCTCCGCGCGCAAGGGAGGGGTGCCCAGCGCAGATCCAAGAAATCCGCGCGGAGCGCCAACATATTATGTTCATGGCGCTTTTTCTTAGGGGCGCGGCGGAGAGCTCTGTCGAGGTCCACTCTCGACCGCCCCTCGAGGCGCGCGTTGCAAACCGCACCCTGAACTCTGTCGAGGTCCCCTCGCCCGCCCCCCGAAGGCGCGCGTGGCAACAGACCACACCCCAATTATGCTAGCCGCACCTTGGCAGTCAGCTGGGCGTTGCTCAAGGTTATTTCTATAGAGCCAGAAGCCAGTGTAGACATAAGGCGCCGTTGAGAATATCCATGTCGTCTGGGGCTGATAAGCTGCGGTGCTGCGCTGACGCCGCGAGAGTGCGGGTCTGCTGCCGGTGCGACCTCAAAGGCGGGCGGTTTTGGAATTTCCTTCAGTGTTGGGGTACTGTTATGCGTTATGTGTAACCCTTTTTTTGTGGGGTGGGGCTTCCTCTCCGCTGTTCCTCGCGTCTCCGCCTCTCTTGCCCTGCGTCCCGCTTCCTCGCCATATTGCCGCCCGTGTTACTTTCATTTTCTCGCGTGTTGGATTCTCGTGTTCTCTCCGCTGCGCCGCGCGGTCCCTCCTAGTCCTTTCGCCCCCCCATGTCTCCTTCCGCCATTGCTGCCGCCGCGCCCATTTCGGCGCCTCCTTGCGCGGATCGCGCGCCCATGAGGAGCTCCCAGCGTGGCCCCTGTGGGTCGCTCGACGCCAACGTGTTGTTTTCGGCGCGCCCGCCCCGCGGACAATGCCCCAGCATGGGCGCCCCTTGCCCCTTCGGAAGAACTCGCGCGCTGGATGCGCGCCCGTATCGCCGCGCCCATGAAGCGTATCGCACCCGACTAGGCGATCCATCGATGGGCCGCGAGGGGGAATTCGCACGGCGGCGCTGCGCCCATTGCGGCGCGTTAGCGACGTGCACCGCGCCCTTTGGAAAGGTCCATCTACAGCCCCATCGGAGGGGTCCGCAATTCGTCTGTGCGCCCATTTCGGCGCACCGTTCGCACGAATCGCGCCGAGGGAGCCGACTGCTGACGATTTCGCATTTGTCGAGGGTAATACGATGATACCCAACGATCTCGAAACGCGCAACAATGGTAGACATTATGGCCGTGACGACACGGGCCTCGCCATGTCAACGGCATTTGCGGTTTGTGGGGTGCCCGGAATTAATGTATATTTCGTTTCCGGTTGACATTAGAATTGGCGCTACGTCAACCGAGATTGTTTCTCTTCGACACTAAGTCGTGCCTTATGTCTACGCGTCTCGGGGTGGTAGACATTACCTGTTCTCTTGTGTTTACGATTGTCGGTGTAGACATGAGATGGGGTGCGTCTGGTTTTCGCTTATGTCTATAGACAGGTGTCTGTGTCGACTTGTGGTTGCGGCCTTGCGCGTAGACGTAGATGGGGCGCTGTTTCGTCGATCTTGTCTAGAAGCAAGTGGTTGGCTTGAAATGTGGTTTTGGCCCTGCTTCAGACTGACCCGTTGGGCAGGCGGTCGCCAGCGGCACCAGGGGGAAGCGGAGCGCGCCGAAGAAATTCGGGATACGGGAGGGATCACATGGAAGTGCGACAGGGATGTTGGCAAATCACGAAGGACGGAAGGCGGGGGGATTGAGATGTGCGGGGGGAAAGCAAGGGTTCCAGGAGGCAGTGTGGAAAATTGGAAATTGCCACAATGGGCACATGGCGCGGGGAAGGGGGCGAGGTAGGAGAGGGCAGGGGGTGAACGAAACTGGATTGTGAAACGTGGAGGGCGGAATGAAACGTGGCGGCGGCGTAGGGGGGCGGGAGGGGGCGCCGCGAGGGGCGGGGGCAGAGGCGGAGGACATGTTGTTCGGGAGGGGTGGGGTGGGAGGAGGGGTGGGTGGGGCGGGGTTGAATGGGGGCGGTGAAGGAGGGAGGAACACATTGAACGTGGAAGGCGGAGGGATGGCGAGCGGGGGAGGGCGGGGGGGATGGGTCAATGTGAAATTGGGAAACCGAAAGAAGGATGCAGGTTGATGCGGGGGGAGGGCGGGGGTGGCGAGGGGGAAACAGGACAGCGAGCGCGGCGTTTTGGCATCGGTGACATCAGCGTGGGTCGCCTTCCTCACCCCCTTCGCCCTTCTCCCTGCCAGCATTGTTCCTCTCGCTGTAACCCCCATCCATGCCCCGCCGAGGGCGCATTTCTATCGGTTCCCCCTCCACTCGGCTCCAGCGCCGAAATATTTTTAGGCGTTTTAAAGTCCATGCCAGCGTTGTGCGTGTACCTCCCTATAGAAGATACCCCTCAAATGACAGCCAAGCCGCACCCCTTTTGGGGGGAGTCGCCGAGGGGAGCAGCACCGCCAGGGGTTTCTGGATGTAAAGGGCAGGACGAGGAGGCGAGGAGGAGGAGGAGGAGGAGAAGGAGGAGGAGAAGGAGGCGGAGGAGGGTAGGAGGTTTGGCACTTTGGGGAGGAGGAGGAGGGGGAGGGGGAGGTAGGAGGAGGGGGAGGAGGAGGAGGAGGAGGAGGAGGAGGCAGGAGGAGGATGAGGAGGAGGAGGGAGGAGGAGGAGGAGGTAGAGGAAAGAGGAGGGTAATTTGTAGGTTGGAGGAGGTAGGTTGGAGGAGGAGGAGCAAGAGAAGGAGAAGGAGGAGGGGGATGTAGAAGGAGGGCCCGAGGTCAGAGCGGGAGGAGGTGTCGACACTGCTGCGCGTCCCGGAGAGCCCTCGCCGCCACGCCCGGGTCCTCCTCGACAAGTCCTGGTCAGAGCGCATCACCCGGAGAGGTCCATGGAGCAGCTGCATGGGCACAGGGCATCTTTCAATACATAGAATGTTTCAACATAAAGGATTTGAGCTACAATTTTATGAATAAATTATACGATCAATTACGTAATCGGATTTTAAATATGATTTTATAATGTAGAGAATGTTAAAACAATACACAAATAATGTATGAATAAATGTGTGCATGAACTCATTTTTGCTTCTAATGCTAGACCCTTGCATTTGTAATACATGGACCGCACGCGGAGCATGTATACAAAAATGGCACTGTACGTTTTTGTTGGCTGCCCCAGGAGGCGGACGATCGGGGGGATGCATGGGCCGGGCGCAAGGTCGGGGTCCGAGGAGGAAGAGGCACTGACACCGCTGCCCCTCCCTCGTTCTCGCCTGTCGTGCCTCCTGGGGTGCCCTCGTCGCCACCGCTGGAACCGCCCCGCAGTTCGTGGTCAGAACGCACCCCTGGGAGGGGTCCTGGGAGTTGCGGTATCGGTGCCCGTTGGTTTCACCACGAGGGGGGGTCACCAGAAGCGGGCTTCGGCAGCAGCTCATGGGAGCCTTGTGCACCCTCGGGAGTCCGCCTCTGGGGTGCACTCGCGTCGGTCAGCGTGCGGTCATCGACAATGAAGCGCCGTCATTTAGCGTCGGGGTTCGTCGATGTAGCGTCGATTAGCGTCGATGTGGCGTTGATGTGTCGTCGATCAGCGTCGTTTAGCGGCATCAGTACACGCCGGTTGTGAAAGTAGGTCTTTCTGGGTTCCCAGATCCCAATCTACTTCAAGCGCTTTCCTACTTCAAGGATCGATCTGCTTCTGCTGTGTTCTGTTACTCCCTGAGAGGGCCTGAACCCAATCTACTTTATCCGCCTTCCTGCTTCATGCTTTTAGGAACTTCTTCAGACAGACGTGTACGATGTCGACTAGCGTCGACGTTCGTCGATTCGGCGTCGATGTGGCGTCTATTAGCGTTACGTCGGGCGGGTCCCTCTACTGGAGGAATATTCCCAAAAAAGAGTCAAACAATAGTCTGGGGACGATTTTTTTACCATTCTTGAATATGTTTTGTTTTTCTGTGTATTTTTTTTCTGTAGGAGGACGCCCGACCCGAGCTTAGCGTCGCTGAGCGACATCGGTGGTCTTCCCGCGGGTGGTCAGCGAGCTCGGCTGCGTGCCGCCGGCGTTGGCCCCACCGCCGGCCAGGGGAGGGGGCTCTCCCGCGATCTGCGCGGGCGCCTCCGTCAAGCAGTGGCGAAGCGTCCTGGCTCGCCTATAGCCCTGCCAAACAATGTTCTAAGAACCCTTTGTGGCTTCCACAAAATGTTCAGCATTTCTGGCTGGCATCGTCTTTAAGAACATTTCGTGATAGAACTATAGGAATGCCGGGACGGTCGGTCCCTGCTCAACTTCGGCACGGGGGGGGGGCGCTGGGCGAGCCAATATTCGCCATCGGCGTCACCCCAACACTCTTATATCATGTGCGTCGCCCCCCACGGGGTCGGCGCGCGCACCGAGAAGTCTTATAGTATATGCGTCGTGGCGGGCGCTTTCTGGCCACAAGGCTCGGGAAACGATATACTACCAAGATGGGTACACTCTATGTTCGGGTCGGACGCGCGCCTACAGGGAGGACATATAGTATTCAGTATGTCCGTGTGCGTCCCACGCCAGCTCTCCCGCTTCCTACCCTCGCCGGGCGCGTGCCACTGCTCGCAGAGCGCCTACTCGCAAACGCCCGACGAACAAACAAACAGGTGTTTGCTCGACGCGAGGGAGCGTCAGTCCCCCCGCGGCGGAGCCAGGTCCCCTGCGAGAGGCTTGGCTCTGCGAGCAGTGGAACGCGCTTGTGTCTATACCTCTTTCCTCCGATCCGAGCTTAGGAGAGGGAGAGAGAGAGAGAGGGAGAGAGGGAGAGAGAGAGAGAGAGAGAGAGAGAAGAGGGAGAGGGAGAGAGAGGGAGAGAGAGGGGGAGAGAGAGGGAGGGAGAGAGAGAGAGAGAGGAGAGGGAGAGAGAGAGAGAGAGAGAGAGAGGCCCGAGGTCAGGTCCGAGGGAGGAGGGCCCGCAGATCCAGGCGGCGCAGCAGGGGTCGCGGCGCCACGTGCTCCTCTCGGGCTCCGGAGGTCGTCTCGACGGCCCTGGGGCCGTCGGAGACGCAGCTCGGGATGCACAGCTGGCCCAGGGAAGAGGCCCAGATCGCTGGCGGCCAACGTCACGAAACAACTGCGACGCCGGAGGAGAGGGGTCGTCGTCGTCGTCGTCGTCGTCGTCGTCGTCGTCGTCGTCGTCGTCGTCGTCGTCCCAGATATGGACTCCCAAAGATCCAACATACGGTGCCTGGCGCGCTTTCTCCCCCGCTTCGGGTCCCATACTCGGGTTCCTTCCTCCCTCCCTCCCTCCACAGGTGTGAGGAGGAGTCGGGCGAGGCTAGGACGAGAATACGTCCGTTCCAGAGCTTTCTGGAACGCTCTTAGAGCGTTCCGGAACGCTCTGGGAAGGCAGCGGCGCCCGAGACATCCTGCACAGCGGCCGGACCCCAGAGGTTCTCGATCTTTCGTCACCCGAATTTATCCTCGTCCTGGCTTCGTCTTGAGGAGGAGGGGCAGGATCCGGAGCAGGCGGAGGAGGAGAAGCAGGTAACCGAGCTTCAGATTTCTCCCCGTCCTGGCAACGTCGTAAGGAGGAGGAGCAGGAGCACGAGCAGGCAGAGGAGGAGGAGGAGGAGGAGGAGGAGGAGGAGGAGGAGGGAGGAGCAGGAGCACGAGCAGGCCGAGGAGGAGGAGGAGGAGGAGGAGGAGGTGGAGGAGGGAGGAGGAGGAGGAGGAGGGGAGGCGAGGCAGGGGTGGAGGTGCGAGGAGGAGGAGGAGGAGGAGGAGGGATTTGAGCTCTGCTTTTGCATTGGGCCCTGGCCCCCAGGAGAAAATGCCCAGAGGTCTGGTCGGAGGCCTGTGGCCCTGGCTCAGGCGCGGCTGAAGCCAGCCGTGGCAAGCTGACTTGCACGGCCGTTACGGTTGTCCCTCCTCCCCTTCCTCCCTCCTCCTCTCTCCTCCTCCGCCTACTCCTCCCTCCTCCTTTCCTCCTCCCCCTCCTCCTTCTCCTCTCTTCCTCCTCTCCTCCTCCTCCCCTACTCCCCTCTCCCCTACCTTCCCCTTCCCCCCCCCTCCTCCTCCTCCTCCCCTCTCCCCACTCCCCCCCTCCGTAGCTCCTCTTCCTTTCTCCTCTTCGCTCTCCTCCTCCTCCTCCTCCTCCTCCTCCTCCTCCTCGTTTTCGTTTGACGTCTTCGGAGCCCGATCGAGCGAGCAGCAGCCGGAGGTGGGACAACATGCGCAACGAGGGCACTGCGCTTCGCTACCTCCGGGCCCCTCAAGCCGTGGCGGGGGGGCCGCTGCTGCCGCCGCCGCCGCCTGGTCCCTCGAGATTATCGGGACCAGGGAGCCCTCTTCTCCTCCTCCTCCTCCTCCTCCTCCTCCCCCTCCTCCTCATTCTTCTTCTTAGCTGACTTGTATGGCGTACCCCTCCCCTCCGCGGCCGCCTACATCTAGGCCGCCCAGATTTGGTCCAGATATACGGGGTCGAAGGATGGCTCGACATCGCCGATGCATTGCCGATGCGGCTCGATGTGGAGCCCCAACTTCTCCGCGCAGACGGCGCCGATGCATGCGTCGCCGTTGCATCGGCGATGCGGCGCGATCCTCTGACCCCATGCCTGATGCCCCGGCATGTCGACGAACATTGATCGTTTTAAACGACCAGCGCTTTTCGGCGACCCATCCTTGACGTAGTAGTTGCTTCGAGGTTGTTTGCGTGGCAGAAAAAATAAAGCAGCTTCCAACAGAAGTCCACAGGGCGCCCGACAGATTTTCAAACGTGTTCAAGGCCTTCCCCTCTCGAGGCTCGAGGGTCTGGGCCAAGACTCGGAGCGAAGGAGCAGAAGGAGGAGGAGCAGGGGGAGGAGCGGGAGGAGGCGGGGGGAGGGGCGGAGGATCGCAAGAAATTGAGGAGAGGATGACCTCCTCCCCTGTCTTCCCCCTCCCCTCTTGCGGCGCGCACAGGGGGGGGCACGGATGGGGGGGGGGGCGTCCTCTGAGCAGGCGGGGTGCTTCTTTGGAAGGCACCGATGCCTCGAGTCACTCTTCTCGGAAGCCGGGAGGGTTCTTGAGCATGCTTAGAATTAAGTCGGGCATGTCTCCCTCCAGGGGGCATACTCCAGTCAAAACATGACAAAGTAGTCTGGTGACGATTTTGAGGAGGAGGAGGAGGAGAAAAAAGAGCATGATAGAGGTGCGATGCGGAGCACGACGACGACGACGCAGGTGCTCTGCTTCAACGGCTTCCAGTGTCGCCACTACACCTGCAAGAACGAGACGGACTCCACGAGGGTCTCATTCGACTGGCGTGCCATTCCCGAGGACATCCTCCGCCTCGTCCTGGCTTGCGAGTCCACGTTTCCCTTTCATTCGGGCACGGCCCCTCTCCCCCGCTGACGCTGGGCTCCAAGACACGTAGAAACTGGATCGCGCGCGATGCGCGCGCCATGGGCTGATTACTATAGAGGACGTGTGCCATGTGCTCGGTTCGGACATGCTAACCTCACGTAAGCACAGTCTGGGCACGACAGGGGGCATTCGTGAAGGAATGTGCCCCGGAGGCTCCAGACCTTGGGGGCGTCCTTAGCCGATGAGGGCGGTGGTGGTGTTCATAGCCAAGCCTCCACGCGAGTTCCACTGGCTTCAGTCGCTGGGTTCCTAATCTAAGGGCTCCTCGCCCAATGCCCCCACCGTATGTCCTTGTGTTCCCCTACCCAGAGCCCCGACGCCATGATTTTTTCATGACGTTGACTCCTGGAGGCGGACCGGCTTGTTATCCTGAATGTGTTTTTTAACGGCCCCGAGACCCGGTAGAGGCCCTCAGAGGCCGAAAATGGCGAAACACCGTGATGATTTTTTCATTGCCCGAGGGGGTCTAGGTATGTTCTTGTGTTCCCCCATGTTCCACTGAGCTGTACACCTCAGGCGATGCTTAAGAAAACTTAAGTTTTCGGCCAGAGTCTCGATTATTCTTAACGTTTCAATGTAAATCTTAAGATTTTGATAGAAATCTTGGGTTTTTGTTCAAGTTCTGAGACTATGAAGTTCTTGAGCATTTCGCAGGGTGTACCAGCGCGTCCCCACACATCTTCCCTTGCTATTCTTGTGGAGGCCTTGCGGCCTCCTGGTGCCGCCGACCCCCTGAAGAAGGGACCCCCTATACGGGGCACCCAGGGAGCCCGCCCCAGGGTCCCCGGGGCTGGGGCCCGGTCGAGGGCCCGGACAGGGCTCGTTTCGATTCCTCCGATTCGATTCGATTCGATTTCGATGGTTTCCGATTCCGATTCGATTCGATCTGGGATTCCGATTTGAGTTCCGATTTCTTATTGGAGGCATACTAGCCTGCCGATTTCTGCCGATCCGACTTTTCCCGACTCAGCTGCCGATTTCCGACGATCCGATTCATGCCGATCGCCGATCCGACTTGTCGATCCGATCCTGGGCCCTCCTGCCCGGACCAGGGCTAAGTCGGGCGTGTCCCTCTACAGGGGCCGATGTTTTAAATATTTGTGACGTTTCTGGCTCCCTGTTTGACTATTCTTGAGTTTTCGTCCAGAATCCGCCTGTAGGAGGGCATGCCCGACATGAGACCAGGGCCAGTCCCCCCCCTCCCAGACGGGGAGCCCCTCCCTCCTCAGATCTGGGCGTTGGATTTTCTCGCAACGCCTAAGTCGAGCCGGTCCCTCTACAAAAGGAATATTCCAAAATACTAAAACAATCGTCTGGGGACGATTTTCTTGATTATTTTTGATGACTTATCGCCGTTTTTTGGTTATTTTGGATTTTTCATTCAAAATCCGCTTGTAGGAGGACGTGCCCGACCTAAGACCAGGGCCGCCCCCCCCTCCCAGACGGGGAACCCCTCCCTCCTGAAATCCTGGCGTTGCAATTTTTTCATTGCGCGGGTTTTTGCTCCATTTCGGGCCCCGGGACCCTCACAGAACGATACGGCTCGACAAATGTCGCAGAGAGATGGGGTCTGGGGCTCCAGGCGAGAGATTTACGATGTTGCATTTTTCTGCAGCGTCGTATCTCAGGGCCTGTTCCCCCCTGTCCACAGGTGGGACCACCCCCCGTGGGGGGTGGACCCGCCGGGACCCCCGTGGGGCGGTTAGTCTGATGTAGGGAATCAACTTAATTACGACGTTTCTTTTCTTCGTTCGTTCCTCAATTTTCGTTGGGCTGGCGGCGACGACGACGACGACGGGGACGAAGACGACGACAGCGTTTCACAGACGCCGAGTGGTCGGCGGATTCAGTCCCTCGTGGTATTGTTTCATGTATATCTTTCACGCCTCAATTTGTATGCACGGATACATATCATAATCTTCCGCCAGCTAGGAGAATCGCCCACTTGAAAGACCATCGATGCATGGCCCGTCGATCCAGGCGAAAGTCCCGTTCTGAATCGGACCCCCGTCCATCGCTTCTCGGCTCTGGAGCCGCGTTCAAAGCAGAAGTGACCTCCCCCCTAAGCACCCGCATATCAATCCAGGCGAAAGTCCCGTTTGGAATCGGACCCCCGTCCATCGCTTCTCGTCTCTGGAGCCGCGTTCGGAGCAGAGGTGGCCCCCCCCCTAAGCACCAGCACATCAATCCAGGCGAAAGTCCCGTTCTGAATCGGACCCCCGTCCATCGCTTCTCGTCCCTGGAGCCGCGTTCTGAGCAGAAGTGCCCCCCCCTCCCCCCCCCAAGCACCCGCACATCAATCCAGGCGAAAGCCCCGTTTGGAATCCGACCCCCGTCCATCGCTTCTCGTCTCTGGAGCCGCGTTCGGAGCAGAGGTGGCCCCCCCCTAAGCACCCGCACATCAATCCAGGCGAAAACCCCGTTTGGAATCGGACCCCCGTCCATCACTTCTCGTCTCTGGAGCCGCGTTCTGCGCAGACGTGGCCCCCCCCCCCCTAAGCACCAGCACATCAATCCAGGCGACAGTCCCGTTTGGAATCGGACCCCCGTCCATCACTTCCGGTCACTGAGCCGCGTTCTGAGCAGAAGTGCCCCCCCCCCCAAGCACCCGCACATCAATCCAGGCGAAAGCCCCGTTTTGCATCGGACCCCCGTCCATCGCTTCTCGCCTCTGGAGCCGCGTTCGGAGCAGAGGTGCCCCCCCCCTAAGCACCCGCACATCAATCCAGGCGAAAGTCCCGTTTGGAATCGGACCCCTGTCCATCACTTCTCGTCTCTGGACCCGCGTTCTGCGCAGATATGCCCCCCCCCCCCTGAGCACCAGCACATCAATCCAGGCGAAAGTCCCGTTCTGAATCGGACCCCCGTCCATCCGTGCAGCTCACTGGAAGTCCGCTTTTGAGCAGAGGTGCCCCCCCCCCCCAAATCCACCCCGCACATCAACTCCAGGCGAAAGCCCCGGTTTGGAATCGGACCCCCGTCCATCGCTTCTGTCCCTGGTAAGTCCGCGTTCAGGGCCAGAAGTGCCCCCCCCCCCCCAAGCACCGCAATCAATCCGGCGGGAAAACCGTTTGGAATCGGACCCCCGCGTCCATCGCTTCTCGTCTCTGGAGCCGCGTTGCTGCGCAGACGTGGGGCCCCCCCCCTAAGCACCCGCATATCAATCCAGGCGAAAGTCCCGTTTGGAATCGGACCCCCGTCCATCGCTTCTCGTCTCTGGAGCCGCGTTCTGCGCAGACGTGGCCCCCCCCCCCCTAAGCACCAGCACATCAATCCAGGCGACAGTCCCGTTTGGAATCGGACCCCCGTCCATCACTTCTCGTCTCTGGAGCCGCGTTCTGCGCAGAAGTCGCCCCCCCCCCCCCCCCTAAGCACCCCCGCACAGCTGCTGCGCAGGCTCGCACCCCTGCGGCGGCGGCGGCGCGCCTGGGTGCAAGCCCCTCGGCGGCCCCCCTGCCGAGCAAGGGGGGCCAGCCTCCGCCCGTGCAGCCGTGGCGCGAGCGTGCCGCGCATAATGCGTGCAGGGAGGACGAGGAGGAGGAGGAGGAGGAGGAGGAGGAGGAGGAGGAGGAGGAGGAGGAGGGCGAGCGGAAGCCGCGTCTCGAGAAGGATCCGCCCGCCATCCGTTCCCAGACATGGTCGTGCGTCGTCCGCCCTCCGCCGTCGTCCGAGGCGGAAGGCTTTTGGCTATGTTCGACCCTCGGGGGCCCTCGCCGGGCCCCGGGACAGTCAAAAATCGACTCAGGATGAAAAACTGGTCCCGGGGAAAGGGTCGGGACTTCCAGGGACGCCGTCCTGAAAGGATGAGGACGTCGAATGGCCTCCGGCCAGTGCCGCCGATCCGGGGGGCTCCGGGTTCGGTGATCTGCGCGGCGTTGTGGCCTCCTCCCTCCTCGATTCTTCCGGTCCTCTTTCTTCTCCTCCTGCAGGGGGTGCCTGGAGCGGTCCCGGGGGTGAGGGTCCGGGGAGGGTTCCGAGGGGAGGGTCCTGGCCGCCATCGGTGTTTTATTGAATCGCTTCGCTCATTCCGCCGGCCCATACGGTCTCATGTCTGCCGTTTGCCCGAGGGCCTGGTGTCAATGCGGCGCTTTGGGGGTTCCTGGGGCCGCTTGGGGGACTCCTGGGGCGCTCGGGGGGGCTTTTGGGGGGCCTCCTGGGGCCGCTTGGGGGACTCTTGGGGGCCTCCTGAGGGCCTCGTGGGGGCCTCTTGGGGCCTCTTAGGGGCCTCTTGGGGCCTCGTAGGGGCTTCTTAGGGCCGAGGGCTCGAAATGTTGTTTCGTGTTCCCTCTCTGGGGCCCCTTTGGGGGCGTTTTTGGGGCCCTCTTGGACCGTCTTGGAGGCTTCTTGGGCCGTCTTCGAGCCCTCTTGGGCCATCTTGGGGCCCTCTTGGGGGCCTCTTGGGCCCTCTTGGGGCGATCTTGGGGGCCTCTTGGGCCGTCTTGGGGCGTCGGGAAGCCGAAAAGGTGGAAGCTCCAACATCTTTCAAAAACCTAAGGAAAAACAATGAATTTTGCCTCCGGGGGCCCTCTTGGGAGTGCTCTTGGAGGCCTCTTGGGGCGTCTGGGGGCTATCTTGGGCGTCTTGGAGCGATCTTGTGGCATGTCGGACCCCTCGTGTACCATCTTGGGGGCCTCTTGGGGGCCTCTTGGCCTTTCTTGGGGCTCTCGGGGACGTCTCGGAGCCCTGTTGGTGCGTTCATGGAGCGCTCCTGGAGCGCTCTGGGGGACTCCTCCCGGGACTCTCTCAGGACCTTGCCGGGGTACTTTTCGTCCGGGGACCCCCAGGGGCCGCCCCGCGCGCTCGAACTAGAGAATTCTTAACCAGTTACCGGAGATCTTAGCACGCCTCTGGCCCGTTGGGCCGGCGAATTGCACATTCTTATAACCGCTTACGCGATGTATCAGTTCATGGATCCGCACAGCTACTGTAACCATATCACAACATCAAATGCGCGCGGCCTCTGTGGGTGTAGTCACGACTCGCCCTGTTCCCGTGTAGTTGCTGGATGCGTCTGCGACCAGGGTGTGCGGCATTGAGGCGAGACCTGCATTCCGGAAAACCATCCATGCATCCATGCCGAGCTGCCGGGTAGTAATGTGTGAGGAGGTTTCGGGAGAAGTCTCAGGCGAAGTACCCGACCCGCCCTGCCGACATGTCCGATGGTGCGGCGATGAGGGCAAGGGGTGGGAAGCG